TTATTGCTAATCAAAAATTAAGTTTTGATACATTTATGGCCGGAAATCTACAAAATATTGTAATGGAACATGATGTTTACTTAATATCTTAATGATTTTTGGCATAAAAGAAAAATCGATCATTTTGACCCATACAGTGTATTGTTGGCTATTGCTACAAATATACCCGTGCGACTTATGACTGGTTTTGTGGTCCAGGGTCACATTTTATTTCATATAATTTTTATAGTGAGAGCTAATAGATCTATACCTTTATTATTCTGTTGGTAGCTGTAGTAGTGTTATTTCTTTTTTTTTTTTTATAACATTTGTACATAGTTGTAGTAACTATGGTATGCCTATTTTATTTATTTGTATGATATTTGTGTGTGTCTAATATTTGTAGTAACTGGCATTTTTTAATGATATTTGTGGCTAATAAATGTATAAACTGTGGGATTTATATTTTATTTATTTTATATGGCATTTGTGGATAGCTGTAGTAATTATTATGGTATTTTATTATATGATATGATTTTGTGGCTAATAGCTGTAGTAACGTTAGCTTATTTCGGCGAAAATTGTAAGGGTCTCCGTAATGCATTAACTTCCCTAAGTAGAAGACACTCTTCCTAAAAGCTTATCAGAATTGCATATTATTTAAATACAATTCTACTAGATGATTTTAGAAAACTATAATGGCACCTATTAATAATTATCGAAAACTTTTACATTTCTTGAGTCTCCTTTCCGTTATCAGAAACCGCTGTGCCATAACAACAGGATCACATGAGCGGTAAAACAACAGCGAGCTAACAGGGATTACGATTCAATACAGCACCTTCACAATACCTCGATTTCATTCATTTCTTCATTCCAGACGTCTGAAGATGATGTTACTTATACTGTATGTCCCAAATCCCGAAACTATGTCCGAAGTTTTCCTGTGACTGTTACAAAGTTCGGAAACATATGGTTATAAATGATGCACTAGCGCCACCTTGCGTCACGTTACGAAATGTGTTTATCATAATCGTGTTGTTTACGACCCTATTAAACGCGCTATATCTGATGAAAATTTATCGCTAAACGATACGTTAATCTATAACGCATAAAATGTTTTAAAAACATAAAACATATATTATTGTTTTTCTTAAAATAGTCATTAAAATTATTATTCGCACAGTGTTTCTCCAAATCATCCTTCTTGCTTACTGGGAAGTAGCCTATGACAGGGAGAAATTTTGCAAGCATGAAATCCCAGCGATGCAATGTTTGTCCAAAATTCCCCTCAAAACAAAAATATGCTTTAAAACCATAGACTGTATGTTTAAAACCACAAGTAGTTTCACAAAAACTAATGAAAATGCTGGTTTCTAATGTACTGTACATTACTCCGCACCACATGGTGGCAGCATAAGTTAGTGTTTAGCTGTAAACTGCCGTCTCTTATGCAAAGAATAACTAAACGAAACCTACGAGCGCAGAAAGTTTATACATGTAGCCTGCTAACTTATAACTATGAGGTTGCGGTAGTTAACACACGGTTTAGTCCAAAAGCATGGAGGAGTTCAACACAACTGTTCGTATATCGGGTTTCGCGTTGAGTTCACTGATGTTTCATCATTTGAACAGTGATGCGGATGTGGTAAGTGGCAAACGATCCCAGTGTGACCGTATGATCCTTGGTTATGAATTAAATTGCGAAGTAAGAAGTCAAAGATGTCCGCTAAGCCTTTCCTCAGTCCCATAACTTCTGTTTATATTTGTACTGTGTTTAAAGGAAGGTCTTATTCTTGGAGAGAGTGTTGGAGAGGAGAACTGCAGGATCACCGACTCACAAATTGATCACATACAGTTTGAGCACACAATAAGTAAATTGACTCTAATTATTTAATATTTTCATATAATAGTTACAACACGAAACCCAAAAACACTAGCCTCATGACGTTTTCTCTTTTTCAGATATTCAACCAGACAGCAAATGACTTTCATGGAACAAGTAGTTCATCAGAATATGAGAAAGATTTTGTCCAATCAGGAACTTGTTTTCATGCTGCTCACTCCATCTCAGGCAACAGCATCAGGCTCCACCCATCGACTTGAGTTCTCAGCTTTCATATGGCACAGCAGGTGAGATCTGAGGATTTTACTCTCAACTCTGGCACACAAACATTCAGTAGACTTTTTGAAGCTTAGAAAACTATTTATTTTCTCCATGCAGCCAGTACATCAACATCCCCATCTTTGTGAGCAACCTGGGAAACCTTGAACAACAGGACTACTGGAGAGTGTCAGGCACATGTCCAGCTTTAGGACGGAGTGAAGCTGTTAATCAGCACAGGTACATTCAGAATGTTATTTGCAGTTAAAGGAATAGTTCAATCAAAAATGAGTATTTGCTGGAAATGTAAATGTATTTGCTTATGTAGGTGAATTTGTTTCTTCATTGGAACAGATTTGGAGAAATTTAGCATTACATCACTTGCTCACCAATGGATCCTCTGCAGTCAGAATGAGAGTAATCCACACAACCCCAGTCTGTCAGTAAACATCTTGTTTGTTACAAACATGCAGCTTTTCGCTGTACAGTTCCTTCAGTAAGGTGTTTTTAACCGGTTCCACTTCTAGACAAAATATGAGTCTATCCCCCGGTTTCGCACACAAGGCTTAAGCCTAGTCCCCAACTAAAATGTAAGTCTGAGCTTTTTCAACTGAAATAAACTTGCACTGATTGATCTTGAAATATGTCAGTGCCTTTGTTTTGTAGGCATGTTTATAAAAATTACTTTAAAATCCTAATTGAACTATGGCCTAGTTTTGGCTCAAGCTAAGCCCCGTCTGTGAAACTGGGCCTAAAATTCATAATAACGCTTTCTCTAGTAAAAAAAAAATCCCATACCCTGTTGTCTCTCACATCAAAATACACAGACATGTTTGTTTAGAACTGTTTTCACATGTAAATGTTGCTTGATCTGTGCATATTTCTCTCCTGATTCAGACTAGATGATTTTTTTTTCTCTAGTGAAAGCAATATTATGAATAGATGATTTTAGCGGGAAGCTAAAACATCTTAATGGTGGATTTGTTTCTTACAAATACAGTTTTTTACTTTACAACATATTAACTAACGGACTGGAGTGGTGTGGATTACTTGTGGTTTATTGTGATGTTTTCATCAGCAGTTTGAACTCTCATTCTGACGGCACCCATTCACTGCAAAGGTAAGCAAATTATGTAATTCTACATTTTTCCAAATCTGTTCTGATGAAGAAAAAACTAATATGTCTTGGATGGCCTAAGGGTGAGTACATTTTCATTTTTGGGTGAACGATTATCTTTCAAGTCTTTTTGGTTTTGTTTGCCAAGGCAAACTTTTTTTTGCCTGGTAGATGGTAAAAATGCAAAAACATCCCATAGACTTGCATTTAAGGAGGGGTCAGAGCCAAATCTAGAGATCGGACTTTCAAAGAGGTCTGGAGGATCATGACATTAACAGCTATCCTTGAAACCACATAGTACTGCAGTTTAGGAAACAACTGCATAGTATTTTCCCCACAAAATATACGAATCTATCTTTTTCTTTAGAAGTGATAAATAATTTTTTCTTGTCTCTCAGGACACAATTCTTCTGCTCAGGGGATGATTTAAAAGAGGTCAGAAATATCAGCAGCATGAATGATGCCCTATTAGGAGAAATGCAGGTTAGTAACTACATTTCTTATTAGTTGCAAAATTGTATCTGGTGTGAAATGAGTATATGTAAATCATATGGACAATTCATATGCGTCTTTTGTTATATAGAAAGTGTGTAAGGAAGTGGAGAAGAGTGAAAGAGCAGTAGAGAAGCTTCAAGAAGACCTCAAACAGCTCAAGGAGGCAATCAAGGAACACTATGAGAAAAATGAAAGTAAGATCTATTATGTCAAGTGCTCTTTATATGGGTGCCTCCTAGGCTTGCCGCGATAGACTGTGCTAACGGTGATACCGGTGTTAAGCCGCAACACCGGTTATGTCACTTGCCCACCACGGCACCGACCCCCACTGTCGTTTTGATTTTTTATAGTAATAAAAATTATTTTGTTCAGTAAAAGAACAGACACTACAATTAAAAACTGAACGCCTCCAAGGCCAATTACACACTACGAACTGAGACTTGTCTGCAGATTTCAAACAAAAGGGCTTCAGTCTTGTAGTGTGTGCTTGCATACAAATTGCTGTAAGGTAGCAGTAGTAACCCTTGTTTTGTATTTAGTTGATAAATTATATTCCTGTTCTGATCGTATTAGTATAATATTACATACATTTTTGGTTCATCAGAATATTATAGTTGTTTTTTTTATACAATTTTGTACAAACCACAGATCAGGTTTTTTATCTTTAACTAAAACTAAAAACAGAACTTGCAGTGTCGCAGTAGTAACCATATGGATAACTGAACAACTTTGTATTCCAGCCCAAAAACATGCCTCTCCAGATGAACCCAAAGAGAATGTACTTCTGTGCTCAGCTCTCAGAATGCTCTTCCCCGATGCGCCTTCATTACGGACACAAACCCTCACTGTTCAGGGTCTCCCTGTATTAGAACTGTGCTGTAATACTGACCATAACGTCGATATTCCCACCAAGCTGCCTCTGATTCTGGAGAATCAACACACCAGGAAGGACACAGCCCCCCGACTCAGGAAAAAATGCCTTGTCGCTGGTTATTCTCAAAGACTTAAAAGGAAGAGGAAAACGAATGACACCAGCGAGTCGGCCTCTGACAGCGGGTCAGATACAGAGATCGAGACGAATGGACAGAACAGACGTATCTCTCCTACCTTTTAAAGAATGAAACTGAGCCTGGTTTTATTGGTACAGCAATCTAGCCACGACTGGAAAGCATTACACATTTTGTACCTGGAGGTTGCCTTTATCTTAATATGCGTTCTATTTTGTTAATTGTTTAATATCATTTTTTTAAACTGTAATTGTAAATGTTTATAAATTCCTTAAATTAAATACTGAATTCACATATGTGGTGTTTTTATTTAAATGAGTTTTATTCATTTTCTGGTTCATCAGGTTATTATAATTATGTTCCATTGTTTATTTTTCACCATTTTACAAACCACAGATTTACAGAAACAAAAGGATGGTCTGCAGCGTCGGTCTTTATACAGAACCTATTCAAAATGTTTGATACCACAAATATCAGGGTCTTTAATAAACTGTGGATCCTTCAGAGTGACTGACATAAAACCTGTGGACATCGCAAAGACCTTTGTTAGTCAAATACTCTGGTTTTACTGTATAACCATGGAAACTTTACTGAAAGCACATAAATATTTCATTCATAAAAAATAAAATCAACAAATTAAAGCCATAAATTCTTTACCCATTGAACGAGCTTTCTTTATTGCCTTCGATACCTCTTTCTGCTTCCGACCACACAAGCCTGTGAAGCAAGAGTTATGGTGTCCCAAATTACTAAATCACATTTAAATAAATATTAATGTGAACATTTAAACCCAGTCCTCTCACCTGTTATGTGTCTGCCGTATATTCTGCCTGTGTGTGGTGAAATAAACTGGGACAACAGCTGGAGAAAAAGGATTGCTTTTTGATTATTTTGCCAATAAAAATATAACTCGTATACATTTTACCAACCTGAACGTTTTTGAAGTCTACAGTTACATTACACAGGATGCAAGTTTTCGGAGGGGACTTGTATGGGTTTTCCATTTTAATAGGCTGGATAAGACATAATGTTGTAATATTAGTGCAAATAAGTATTCAAATGGTTTCAGAGAACTTCAACAAAGTGTCAAGCAGAAACGCATGTATAAAAAAAAAAAAAAACGTACTATATCATCTTTCTTTAGAGATTCTTGCTGAGATGTTGTCAGACTTCTGATGCATTGTGCTGGAAGAGATTAAATAGGCTTACAGCATTTCATGACTAACAAGCTATCATTCTTTAAAAAATTACGTTGAACAGATCAGGACATCATCTTATATTTCCCTGTAACATCTAGTTAATCAAATAATTATTAAATGTTTATTATTGATAAAGAAGCTGTGTGCTTCTCATAAGCGTGCTTACGAAAATGTACTAGTTACTAGTCCTGAAAAACATTGTGCTTTTTAAAAAAAAATTGAGAAAATAATGTAGCAGAGATACCTGTAGCCCTAGGTGTGACCGGTTGCTTGGGAAGAGCCTGTAATAACAGGCGACTAAAAGAAAGGGCAAACATTCCTCGATGTGTTCAGGAGGAGGCCACTATTTCTGCCTGCTTCTTCTGCGGAGTCGTTTAGCGCGGTTATGGTGGTTACGTTTGTTGCAATCTACCGCCACCTACAAGATCGGAGCAAGCGAACGTCACTTCAAAATGGATATCCTGCTTCTTCTTCTTCTTCTGTGGGTTTATTGGCGAGTTGCATACCAGCTTTTAGGTGCATATCGCCACCTCCTGTGCTGGAGTGTGAAGTTATTTCAGTCTAGGTGTGCATTTTAAAATCTATATTCTGTTCTTAAAATCACCATTTTTAATGTATTTTAAAACAGCTTTTATAATTTTTCCTGAACCTTGATTTGTATTTAATACATTTCTGATTGTAAATTCTTTGTATCCCATGTTGTAGAGTTCTCTTATTAATTCATTCCTTTCCTGCTCATACACTCTAAAAAATGCTGGGTTGTTTCAACCCAACTTTGGGTCAAATATGGACTAACCCAACTTTTGGGTTAAAAATTTAATGTAAAAATTTAACCCAACGGTTGGGTTAGTCCATATTTGACCCAAAGTTGGGTTGAAACAACCCAGCATTTTTTAGAGTGTACCTAGGACAAATTAATAACACATGTTCTACTGTTTCCTTTACTTGGCATGTTTCACATAATCCTGTACTATGTTTACCTATTATATAAAGAGTCGAATTAAGTTTAGTATGTCCCATTCTTAGTCTTGCTAAAATAACCTGATCTTCTCTACTGAAACTATATAGCCATTTACTTTTTCTAATACTGTTTTGTATATTATAAAGATGCCTTCCTGTAATACAAATATTCCACTTTCCTTGCCACTTTTGATTGCATGCTTCTTTAACTATACTTTTTCCTTCCATCTTACTTAATGAGACTCCGAGATTAGGAGAGTTCAGTTTAAGTGCTTCTTTTGCCATTTTATCAGCTTTTTCATTTCCTGGTATATTAACATGTGCTGGTACCCAAACAAAATTCACTATTATTCCTGCTTGTCTTAGTCTATATAATATATTCATTATTTCTATGAATATATCATTTCTAACTGATTGGAATGTTTGAAGACTAATAAGTGATGCCATTGAATCAGAACATATCAGAACTTTGTTAGGCGTTACTTCCTCTACTCAACAGAGTGCCATCTGAATTGCTACCATTTCAGCAGTGTAAACTGAAGTTCCATCTGTTCATCTCCCACAGTTTCCTACTTTTGAATTCTGGAACATAAAATGCTGCTCCAGTACAACCTGTCTCTGGGTTATGGATATCCTTAAAATAAATGGCCTTTACATACAAAAGAAATGATAAAGGTGCAAAGATAAATAAAATAAAATAAAACCAACAATAGAAAGTTAGTATAAAAAGCTTTAACGTTAGTATTTTTTTGACTCACAATCAGCGAAATATTGGAAAGAGGAAGTCTGAAAAAAGTTTTTAGTTATTGATATATTTAATGTTTTAGCTATTGGTATATAATAATTGATATAATATTTCACAGTTGAAGAATCAATGATAAAATGAAATAATAAAACAATGGAAAATTTGTATAATTTTGTGATTTTGTAGATTTTTTGTGTATGGCAGTCTATGGATCATTCTGGATTCTTGAAAGACCATGGATCAGTTCCAGGATCAGTTTTCTCACTCTTTTTTGGAAGGAGAATGTGTAAATACATTTTGAAAGTTTGAAAAAACTTTTGACAAAACTTTGAAAGTTTTAGATATTGATATTATATAGGCCTAATTAACAGAAAATGTCACTGATGAAGAATCAATTGTAAATAATAAAAATATAAATAAAATAATAGAACAATTGTGTAAAAAGCTTTTGTAGTTTTGCAAGTGTATGGATCATTTTGCATGTCTTTGAAAAGTCGTTTCAATAATAAAGAATCAATGAATAAATCAATTATTTCAATAAATGAAATAAAATAAAATATGAAATTTATATAAAAGGATTTTGAAGTTTTATGGTTTTTAGTCATTTTTTGCATTTTCTGAAGGATTGAAGGGACTTTTGTTCTGCCTTTTCTCGTCTTGACTCTTTAACAGTCACGTGGTTCAAAGGCGAACTCCTATTGGTTAACGCCTCCATCACTCATCTTTTCGAAAAAGTCCTCGCTTTTGGTAAACATTGGCTAGTGTGTCGCCGCTCACTATTCAAGTGTTATTTTGTGTAATAATATATATTTAGTTGTTTTGTTATGGTTTTGATGCAGTGACTATGGTCAGTTACTTAACTGTCATACAGACTTGACTATGGATGAATAAACAGCTTCGCCTCTTTGTTGTGGTTGTTGTCAGTTACTGACCCTACAGTACGTAAGTATTATCACGCAGTGCTGTAATATCAGTTTCCAGTAGCTTTACACTAGTAATGTATACTGACAACCACATGCACGAGATTGTGGTAAAGCGCAACACTTCGTCCTCAAGAAAGAGATCAAGGGATGGCATGAGAAGTCGCATCACTCCAGCCAAGAAGCGGTCAAGTTTCACATCAGAAACATGCTCTACTGTTGAAGGACACACTCATACTCGAGACATGAGTGAGAATAACGGCACAGAGCTGGTAAGCTGACCCTTCTCTTACTTTAATTCAAAGATGTACGTTGATTTCAAGCATGACAATAGTGTTTCTTTTCTTATCCAGTGCTGCAGTGACAATGAGGACTTATTTGAGGGTTATGACAGCATTGTGGGTGACAGCTCCTTTCTGGCTAAGCTTGAAGATGTGGAGCTCCAGATGAGGCAGTGTCACGACCAGCAGACTCCAAATGCCTGTGAGGATGATCTTTCAGACTCAGTCTTAGCTGAGGATTTCAGAGATTCACCACCTAGAGCTTTGCCGAGCTCTCAACTTGAATTTCAAAAAGCTGTCACGACTCCACACAAAAGCCCTTCCAGCGGTGCACATAACACCTCTACTCCTGATTTGATGAATCCCAGGCCAGCTATCAATCATGCAGATCTCACTGCCAACAAGCCACCCCCAAAGGCCAGAAGAAGCATGAAAGATCATCTTAAGAAAGTACTGATAGACAATGCAGCAACATCTAGCACTGTCTCCAAGACGGTGCAACAAAAGGAGGCTGTGATGACTGAAGAAATGAGTTTTGCTATGCAGGCCATGGAGTCCATATCAGCTGAGCAGGACCTGGGCCCTTTTTTTGGTCTCCCATCCAAAGTTAAAGTCCTTATTTTGAGATTAAAGGGAATCCAGGACTTGTATGGTAAGTATTTCACATCCTTTCCATTCCAGTTTTGTCCTTATTGGCATCTGGTAAATCAGTGTTTTAATCCTCTCGTTTTTTTTTCTATTCTCTTTTGATTTCAGAGTGGCAGAAGACGTGTTTGAGCCTGGATTCGGTGCAACAAAGGAGAAATCTCATTTATTCTTTACCAACAAGTGGAGGAAAGACTCTAGTGGCAGAGATTCTCATATTTAAAGAGCTCTTGTGTAGAAAGAAAGATGCACTGCTTATTTTGCCGTACATATCCTTGGTTCAGGAAAAGGTATACATTTACACATTTATGCACGATTTATGTATCATCTAAACAGTGGGACAATTGTAAATCAAGCCATTTTAGATCATTAGTACTGTGTTGTTGATACACTTATATGCATTGATTTGCCTTTAGGTTCGAGGGTTATCTAGCTTTGGAATTGAGTTGGACTTCATGGTCGAGGAGTATGCTGGCAGTAAAGGGAGGTTTCCTCCGGTCAAGAGAAGAAATAAAAACTCTCTGTACGTCACAACTATTGAGAAGGGACATAGTCTTGTCAATTCACTGATTGAAAATGACCGTCTAGACAATATTGGTCTGGTTGTTGTGGATGAGGTATGCATCACAAACTATTATTATTATTAAAGTATATTTTTTGTTATGTTTTGTTTTTGTTTTGATACACTACAGAAAAGTCTGGGGTCGGTAAGATTTATTTGCATTTATTTACATACAGTAAAAACTAATTTTGTAAAATATTATTACAAATTAAAATAATTATCTGTTTTAATATATTTAAAAATGTATTTATGAATCTATTTCTGTGATAGTAAAGCAGAATTTTCAGCAGCCATTACTCCAGTCTTTAGTATCACATGATCCATCAGAAATCATTCTAATATGCTGATTTGGTGCTTAAAAAACAGCAGCTTAAAAATGTTTTTTTTTTTTTTTTCAGGATTCAGCACCATTTATTTGAAATACATTTTTTGTAACAATGTAAAAGTCTTAACTGCCATTTGTGATGAATTAAATGCATTCTTGCTGAATCGAAACATTAATTTCTTTAAAAAAAAGAATGACCCCCAAACTTTTGAACAGTAGTGTGTATAAGCTTTTCAAATGAATTTGTTTTTCAGCTCCATATGCTTGGTGATGGAAGCAGGGGGGCAATTCTTGAAATTACTTTGTCAAAGATTCTGTACATGAGCAGTGAGTATCGGAAAACTCACACATGCTGTACTCTCTGTGTGATGGTCACTCATTACAGATTCTGATAACTCCATTGTCATTTCTCCACAGAATCCACCCAAATTATTGGTATGAGTGCAACGCTAGGCAACGTGGGAGATCTTCAGACCTTTCTGAATGCTGAAAACTATACCAACGACTTCAGACCTGTAAGACTGTTACTGTGATTTAATACGGCTTTAAATTTGATCAACTCAATTCAAATAAATAACTGCTGATTCTGTAGGTTGAGCTGAAAGAGTATGTAAAAATAAAGGAGAGCATATATGAAGTCAACCCAAGGGAAGAGACATGCTTCAGTTTCTCACGACTCCTGGATTTTAAGGTATTGATGATCATTTGTGGCCAAAGCTCCACACATTTAAGTTTTTTTTTTTTTTTTAACTAAAAAAAAAATTGACCTGCAAGACTATGTGAAAAATAATGTGTTTTTCGAACAGCCTAGTATGAGAGCCTGTTCTAGTACACCCCCCAAAACAAAATCAAGACTTTGTAAAAGAGCATAATAGGACCCCTTTAATTGATGAATTGTCAATATGATATATTAACAATACAATATATAGGGTATGATTTTACCACAAAATTCAACATATTAACATAAAATGTTAACTGCAAATCCGCGTTTCGCTGCCTGGATTCCATTTGTTTCTTTGAATTGCAGGGATCCCTGCTTCTCTTTTCTGTAGCTTTCGGCAGTCTGTAAAAATATTCCTCAGATTTCTTGTCATATCTCTTTGTACAGTAAATCGCAGTGCTCTTTCCTGTTTTAGATGTGTTTTGTGTGTTCTGTCGCAGCATTCATGCTGAAAACCAATGCTGCCATTCAGTCTTTTTGCCACTCAGTGGGCGGAGCCACAGTCACTCCAGCTGACGGTGACGCCACGTGCATACCCTCTATTGATGTGTGTTTCTTAATCATATGCATGTGCTACTTCTCAGGGTCATTCTGCGGTCCCCATATGTAGCTACAGAGTTTTTAAAGAGAAGTCAGTACAAACAGATGGTAGGCAGAGCAGGACGAGCAGGTATTGATGCCATGGGTGAGAGTATCCTGATCCTGCAGGACAAAGATATAAACATGGTAAAGAATCAGATTTTTTTTAAATGCGTGTATTATATTATATTATATTATTTTATATTATTTTATATTATGGATATGTTTACTGCAGGCCAAAAAACTGCTGTCTGCACCAATGGAGAAGTGTTACAGTAACCTTCTACATGATGGAGGTAGGGGCCTCTTCAGTCTCGTCCTGTCATTCATTGGGCTGAAGGTTTGTGAAATGTTTTGATGTAGTGATAATTGAGAAATTATGTCTACTTTAGAAGTGCAAACACTAATGTGTTTCCTTTAATTTCAGATAACTACAACTGTAGAACAAGTGAGGGATTTCATGAAAGGCACACTGCTTAGTGTGCAGGAGGCTCAGGTCAGTCCAGAGAGGAGTCTGTGGGACCTTACAGTGGAGTCTATAGATACTCTGAAGCAGAAGAGCCTCATCGAAGTCTCTGCTGATGTAAATAATCAAAGCATTCTCCAAATCACCAGGCTTGGGAGAGCAACATTCAAAGGTAAAACTAAGCATGGCATGAGGATTGGAATAATGTCATGTTTTGATGAGTAAGAAATGATTCTAGATATTTACTCATTTACCACATGGTGGCAATACGACCCAGTTTAAAAATGATACATTAGCAGAGGAAACATTTCTAGCTTCTCTTTTTATTATTATTGGTTTTTCAGAGCCTCCTTTTTTAATGTTTTCCATTTAAAATGTTACTACTTGTTTCAGGTTCAATAGACCTAAGCTACTGTGATCTGCTCTACCGAGACTTATCGAAAGGGCTGGAGGGTTTACTCCTCAATAGTTTTCTTCACTTAGTGTATCTGGTTACTCCATATGACATGGTGAATCAATGCAAACCAGATTGGATGATCTACTTCAGGCAGGTGGGATGATTTTGTTAGGTTAAACCTGTTTTAGTGACACACTACCATTTAAAATTTCTCGCTCAGTAAGATTTTTAAAATGTTTTTGAATCCTCTTATGTTCATCAAGGCTGCATTTATTTGATAAAAAATACAGTAAAACAATTGTGAAATATTATTAGAGTTTAAAGAACAGTTTAATACATTTATTATATAATTTATGACAAAGTTACTTACCCCAAACTTGGAACAGTACAGAATATCACCACCTTTATATTTGTATTAATGTCATTAATGTACTCCTCTTTAGTTTCAGTTGTGTATTCATACTTAATACAAATGTTTCATTGTACCAGTTTACGAATTTGTCAGCTGCTGAACAGAAGATGGCCACTGCGGTCGGAGTGCCTGAAAGTTTTGTGGCTAGAAAGGCAGCGGGACAGAGCGTGAGGAAGGTTGGCAAAACAGCATTCTTCTGTTTATAGGGGGGGGGTTAAACAGCCCAGGTATAATGAGCCTGAAACTGATACAGATATCAGATATCATTAGCTGACAATGTTTAAAAAAATTAAACATGTCTTACTTATTTACTACTTACTTCAATCCTAATCCTCTCAAAGGATTTGCAGAGTGTTAATGCTAAATCTACATTTAACCCTTCTTAAGTTTCTGAGGTGGAAAATAATGATTTACTGTGACTTAAAGTGAAACATCATCAGACCTGGATTTCACAATGATGGTTTTTGTTCCTGTTTCTCTTACCTGCATCTCAGTCTGTGGACATTGTGGTAGTGAATAGGTTGTATCTGGCTTTGGTGCTGTACTCCCTACTGAAGGAGACAAACCTTTGGAACGTGTCTGATAGATTTCAGCTGACCAGAGGCTTTGTACAGACTCTTCTCAGCTCAGCTTCCGCATTTGGCTCCTCCGTGCTGCACTTCACTGAGGTTAGGGCACATCCAGGCATCGTTTAAGACATATCAGCTGACAAATCTACATCTGTTCCTATCTTAGAGTCATTAATGGATTAGAGTACTATGAGATTTGTCTGTCCATTTCAGGAGCTGGAGGAGTTTTGGGCCTACAAGTCTCTTCTCTCAGAGCTGACCCGTAGATTGACTTACTGTGTGCAGGCCGAGCTCATTCCACTCATGGAGGTGGCTGGAGTCATGGAGGTGTGTGCTGTTGCTGCTCATCTTGTCTCTCTAAAATAACTATGACCAGGACATTTGTTTGAGAGCTGTGATTTTATATTTTCTTCTTTCATTCTCTTTTACTTCAGCATCGTGCTAAGCAGCTGTATAACGCTGGTTACAAGACACTGGCACATCTTGCCAACGCAGATCCACAAATTCTGGTCCAAACTATTGAAAACCTCTTCAAAAGACAAGCAAATCAAATTATTGCATCAGCAAAAGTAAGTATAATATTGCACTATAGAGCAACATTATATTTTCAGCTTAGCTATTCTTTTTAAGTTCATCCAAAATAAAAATGGTCTTCATTTATTTACCCTCAAACCAAACCTGCATGACTTTCTTTCTTCAGAAATGATGAAGAATTTCTTTGATTGTTTTTTCCATGCATTGACATCAAATGTTGGTGTTGGGCCTCAAAAAAGATCAAATCATCATAAAAGCATCATAAAGGTATTTCCTCACATGATGATGGCTCAAGAAGGCTTATTTTATTATAGAAAGGAATCCAATGCTCTTCTTTCAGTCCAAAAAAGTTAAAAAGACTTTATTTGCATTATGGCCATTACGATAGAAACATTTAAAATGACTAAAACACTGCACACTGATGCGCCCTTCAGCCTTCCTCAGAGTGTGTCAAGGCTACTTTTATGATGATTTTGGTGATTCTGAATACTTTTTGTCACTATATATTGTTAATGCATGCAAAAGACTGACCAGGACAGTCAGGAAATTCTTCATTCCACATCAGAAAGAAAGTCATACAGGTTTGGAATAACATGAGGGTGCGAAATAATTTTTTTTCACTGTTTATGGGTGATCTATACTTTTACGATGCACATAAGAAAAAACACCTTTTTATTCATGTTAACTTTCTCAATGTTCATTTTCAGATGTTAATAAAAGAGAAAGCAGAGGCCTTGCAGGAGGAGGTGGATGACCTGCTTATGCTGCCATCTGATATCCCATCTTTGTAAATCTTTGTTTATTTTGATTTATTTGATGTAAATCGCATGTATATTATTTAATCTACCTGGAATTATGTGAACTATTTTGTGCCTACATGTCTGGCTGAAATAAAAATGGAAGTAACCTCGTTTTTAGTAGCATCTCTGTTACTCATTACCATGGTCATGTGTTATTTTGTGTCATAAAGACTTAATAACCAGTCTGCCACAAAGGGGAAACAATCATAAACAGCATGATAAAGTTCCAGCCATAGGCTGTATAAAAAAGGGTTCCAGCGCAGCCTCTCTTGTTGTGAGTGCCAGCCAATCAAATAAGACATGCAAATAAATGAATTAGCCTGAAGCCACGCCCAGGAGTCACCAGCGTGAGAGATATGTTTAATTGTCATGAACTGGTCTAACAAGAAAGAAGGAAGTAGCTTTGACGGTGCAAAAAAAAAAAAATTAATAATAATAATATTTCGCCTGTGTGTTTTGGATGAGCGATGCCAGCAAAGCCCGACAGCGGCGGATTGAACAGATGAAGTCTGCGGCCACAGCAGTTTCCACGATTGTAGCTCTTGCTTTGTTTGGCTCGTTGTGGGTCGGGGCCAAAACAGTGATATCTGTTGATGATGTTCAGTCAATACCAATACGCGTCGACCTGGATCTGTTCCGTGTGGCCCGACGGGTGGACGAAAGGTTTCTCTCCGTGGCCATAGATGCGAGTTTACTCGCCCAGGAGAAGTTCATGAACCTACTGAAGTAAGTAACTTCTTAAACCTCAAATGAATAAAGTTGTGATGTGACTTTAAAAGAAGTGATATGGTGTTTATGCAGTTCACCGAAGTTAAGAACCCTCGCCAAAGCCTTGATCCCAGCGTTTCTAAGATTTGGAGGTACCAAACAAGATTTTATGAAATTCAACCCACGCGGAAGATATTTTCAAGCGAGAGACAACAGCAGCAGCGCTGTTCAAGGTAACCTCTTTCACTTAGCATCAATACATGACTTAAATTTTGTTAAGTAAACCACATCCTCTACAGTAGCTGAGAAAGCTGACTGTGGTGTGTTGTCATCTGACTTTAATGAGCGAACAGTGAACTGATTCACACAAACAAACTGAACATACAATGCACCTACATAGCTTGTTGTATCTAAAGATTGTAGTTGACCCCAAATTTATTTGGACACTTGTACCTTCATATTTCTGAGCAATTGTTTGCAATGATATTTAACCACCTGGGTTCAAGGTGATTTTTACTGTAAGCTATATTACATCACATAACTATGTTCCACATTTGACAAAACTGAAACTGATACAAATACTTTGAATTTGGTTTCTCTCTCTCTCACTCTCTCTCTCAAACACACACAAACATATACAGGTGCATCTCAATAAATTAGAATGTCGTGGAAAAGTTAATTTATTTCAGTCGTGTATATATAGAGAGAGTTTTAATTATTTTTTTCAATTTTATTATTATTGGATTTATTTAATCAGCCACATCTACTGTTATTCCTACAGGAAAATTATGTGAGAGACTTGAATTGCCTACATTTCTGGAAAATAGGTTAAAGAAAGAATGGATCCTACAGTCAAAGACTTTACTTGAGGAGGAACTAGAGGGAAAATACAAAAAGACGAAATTCTCTGGTAAGTTTAATTTCACTTCTTTTAAATATTTAATTGCCTAATGGAGTCAGTTCCACAAAACAGTGTTCTCTAGCAACAATGTAAATTCCGCTGCCCCACACTTTTAAGTGTCAGAAAATGTAAAGTTTAATTTTTAATGAAAAGTTTTCTTTACAAAAAGACTCCATGGCAGCTATAAACTATAGCAACTGTATGGTAGCTATATGTATATAAACTCTGGGCCATCATTATTATTGAACCCAGTAATGTATTCAGATTTTCACTGATCATAAAACGTAAAAATCAAGTGTCTGTGTTTCTTGTAGAATATGCAGTCGATCTGCTATACGCTTTTGCGAACTGCTCTGGCTTGGACCTCATCTTCGGTTTGAATGCTTTGCTCCGAACCAGCGAAAACACATGGAACAGCACAAATGCAGAACTGCTGTTGAAGTACTGTGAGTCCAGGCAGTATGTGATGTCCTGGGAGCTGGGGAATGGTAGGATTTGGGATCTTTCCTTATGCATATGCACATGTTCCTGTTTTGAATTACCCAATCATTTTTATGTGATTATCTGTTGTTGTTATTATTTAAGTTGATGCCCTCAGCATTAAATCTCTTGTTTTAGAACCCAACAGCTATGAGAAAAAAGCAGGGATCAGAGTGGATGGTTACCAGCTCGGTCAGGATTTTGTCCATTTGCATCAAATCCTTCAGGAATCTGCGGTCTACCACTCAACAGGACTATATGGACCAGATGTTAGTCAGCCACGAGATCACCGCAAAGATTTGTTAACTGGGTAAGTGTTAGGAAATACTTCTTGATTTAATGGATTTTCAGAGACGCATCTTGTCTGTACCATCAGTAATACTAATGCATTTGGGTATCGAAGAAGTAGGGCTGTGCAAAAAATCGAATGCGATTTTCATGCGCATCTCGTCAGTAAAGCCGGTTCTGTGATTAGTAGTAAATCTCCAGCACGTGCGTTCAGATGGAGTGGCATTTACTACACAGAGCCGTAGTTCACTGACAAGCTACACAAAATCGCGTTTGTAATCGGCAATGAATATCCTGCGATTTTGAACACGATTTTGTGTAGTTTGTCAGTGATATACGGCTCTGTGTAGTAAATGCCGCTCCATCTGAAAGCACGTGCTGGAGAAGCGACTTTACTGACGAGATGCGCATGAAAATCGCATTCGATTTTTTGCACAGCCCTACGAAGAAGCGTGACATGGTTGAACATTGACTTTTATAGGTTTTTGGAGACTGGAGCAAAGGCCATTACTGCATGCACCTGGCATCAGTAAGTTATGATTTACTTCCTTTCACTAAAATCTGAAATAAATTAGATTAGCTTTTTCTGAGTCTTTGTATTGAACTTGTTGTTCTTTTTTCTTCTTAACAGCTATTATGTGAATGGCCGAGACACGTCTTTAGAGGATTTCCTTGACCCTGAAGTGCTTGATACTCTCGCAGAAAAGCTGGATTTTTAGCAGCCATTACTCCAGTCTGCAGTATCACATGATCCTTCAGAAGTCTTTATAATATGCTGATTTGCTGCTGTTGAAAACAGTTGTGCTGCTTAATATCTTTGTAGAAAATCCTGTCAGGATTCTTTGAATTTATATGAACTATAAATCTTTTATGACAATATAAATGTCTTTACATTCACCTTTGATCAATGTAATGCATCCTTTCTAAATAAAAGTATTAATTTCTTGTAAAATGTGAAAAATAAAAAATATTTATTAAAACCATCTTCATTGTTTATTAAAGATATTTCTATCTGTCTTGTTTATTGAAGGTGGCTGGACAAACTGGGGCTTGCTGCCAAGCTTGGTTTAGATGTCGTCATCAGACAAGTGTTAATTGGTTCTGGCACGTACCATTTAGTGGATGATAACCTAGATCCTCTTCCAGTAAGTGTTTTTTATGTTTGATCTTTGTTGCATAACTTCTGTATCGGTCCAGGAATGTGGACCGGTCAATTAGCCTAGTTTTTTTCTTTCTTTACATTAAATTTTGTGTTATGGCAGGATTACTGGCTATCATTGCTATACAAAAGGCTTGTTGGTCCAGAGGTCTTAAAAGCACAAGTTCTTATGAATTCAGGACCAAAGAAACCAATACGGCTTTACCTTCACTGCACTAACAGAAAAAGGTACTTGTTTTCTCGTTCACAGTGATTTATTTTCTAAAGAAGTTAACTTTTGAACGGTTAAGATTTTTTACGTATGGTGTCTTTTTCTTTTTCAGCACACATTATAGACCAGGTGCTGTGACCTTATTTGCCTTAAACCTAAACAAAAATGAAGTCCCGATTAGTCTGCCTGCACACACAGCCAACAGCACCATTGAAGCATTTGTGCTACAGTCAGCTGAGACTGGCGAACAGAGTCTTTATTCCAGGTAATGTTTCATGATCTCACAATGTTTGGACTGTACAACGCAATCATGTTACACTACACTTTGCTATACATTTATAACCTCATATTATTAGAAAGACTACACAGAATAGTCAACTTTTCTATAAATTTTAAACTAAAATGGAAGCCATTCGACAAATTATGCATTGACTATTGTAATAACAACCTTGAGACTGTTAAATCCAACTTTTTGTCCGTTTTGTAGGTCAGTCAAATTGAATGGACAAGTGCTGAGGATGGTGGATGACGGAACACTTCCTCCGCTGAAGGGACGTGAGCTGCCGCCTGGAGAACGCCTCAAGCTGCCTGGGTTCTCATTTGCATTCTATGTTCTGATTGAAGCACAAGCTCCGGTATGCAAATGAGCTCTCATAAAGACTGCTTTCACTGGAGAATCAGGGACACAAAATGTGTGATGACAAAATATTTTGCTGTGACACTATTTTATGTGAGGGAACTTCAAACTTGAATGAAATTAATCAGTGTCGTAAAACTTATTATTTATGAAAAAAAAATCATATTTATTACAAATATCAAGCTGTAGCCAAAAAGAACTTGTTTAATACTTCATGAACAACATGCACTGGGTTTAATCTATTTTACATCTGTTGAAATAAACTGATTTTAATCAAAGTGCTCATTTGTCAGGACATTTTGTTTGACAAGTTGAAGTGATCCATTATTTTCCATGCAGACATGCAGCCCTCTGCGCTTATAGCAATCAAGCCTTTTGATTCTTAGTCATTTTCTGTCTGTGTGATTCACATCTGCGTGTGTGTTCAGCTAAATTTAGAGATGTATGATAAAATGATCGAGACATTTAAGAATCCTCTCAAAGAGTAGACATAAGAGGTCTCATTGCACTTGTTTCTCTCTGTGCGTGATGATTGTAGCAGAGAGTCTGTATTAGACAAAAAATGAAACATCTGGGATATCTTAAGTGAGAGCACAGCTGGTATAAATACAGATAAATATTTCTTGACTGGCTGCTTGTGTAATCTGTGAAAAAAAGTTTGATTTATTTTAATGCAGAGGAGGATTGAAGTTTTATATAATCATTTAACATGAACATTTCA